GAAACATGCAAAGGGGAAACTTCCATAGATCAGTGGCATTCCAAACCCTGAATCTCAGTCAGCTGCCTTCTGAATTCCTAAAATCTTTGCAGTCTGACTTTCTATAATCTTTGTAGTCTGATTTTCTAAAAATCTTTGCAGCAGTACATTTTGTATATGACAATTTTTTTCTCTGAGTCAATTGAGTAAATATTTTCCACTCTAGTTAGGGCTTCATTCGGAGTATTGGTATTCCATTGTCAGGCTTTTTGGACACAGCACGACAAAGGTTATGTGGATTTTCTCAGGTAAAAAATAAAAACTATATTGTTTAAAAATATACAGAGTACAGCATAAGAATCTTCTCAGTGAAAAATGTGAGATGGAACAGTTTTTATTTTGTCACCTGGCTTTTCCAGAGCTTCCCTGTGCTTGATTTCCTAGGAATAGTGTTACCAAAAGCAGCAGGTGCCCTGCAGCTCTTACCTTAGTCCCATCACCTTTTGTTTTGATGTGGAGCTCAGCCTGCTTGCATCTGCAGCATAACTCTGATTCCTAACCTTATACAGCAGTATTACTGATCTAGAGAGAACTATGTTTTTTGCCTTGACAGGTCCTGGCTTAGCAGGGGCAAGTGCTTGGTAAAACTATACAGAGAAACAGGCTCCTCAAGGAGGTGGCTTAAATCACCTGGATAAAGTTCTACTTTGAAGGCACTGAAAAGACACAGGCAGTGAACTATGTGGTGGTAAAAACAGAAACTTGAATGAATTTATTATGGAAATCTGGATAGAAAAAAAGAAGCATTCTTTTTTGTTCCTTTTCTTATTTGCTTGCTCAAGGTTTCCTTCAGGAATGCCGTATTTGTGTAAATAATTACAAAACCAGTAGAGGGTGCTGAAGAATATCCAGCATAGTTTTAGTTTCTGTAAGAGCAATAAAACGTAACCCGGTTTTTACACTGCAAATAGCAGCTTCTGTTTAGCCTGCACATTGATTCTTACAAATTCAACTCATTGGATAAAAGCAACTAACCTATTTGCACGTCTGTGGTTTTGCTCAACTCCCAGTTTCCTCCTGCTCAACTTAAAAAGCCTTTCAGATATTCACACCAACCTGAGAGTGCCTGGACCACCTCCTGGTGCACCATAAGCACGTAAAACAGACTGGAAAGAAGCACAAAATGAAAACCTTCTACATTTCTTCAAGGTCAGACTATGTGATGAGTCATCCTCTGTACACTGTTCTCAGTCAAGGCACTGTTCAATCATCCTCTGGGCATTCAGGAGGGTGAAAGAAGCACAGATTTGTGTACTTTTACAAATGTGCTTCTGGTTATTTTCAGCCCATATCAGTCCATAGATAGTAGAAGAATATGAGAAAATGAAATAATTTCTTGCTTTAATAAGTTCAAAGAGAACTAAAGGGATATATCCCATTTTCAGACTACTAGAATAAGCTACGTTTCAGTAGAGTAAAAGCTTTATATATTGGGGGTTTTGTCTGAAATCACAATTATTTTCAATGGAAAAATAAGTAATAGAAATAATTATCATAATCTTATTAGCTAGAACCACCAAAAATGCTGTGATATGTTGACTGTGCACAGAAAAATGGTGTTCATTTTAAAAAATAAATTTAGTCTCTTTTGATAACAGAAAATCTTTGTTCTCTGTGACTACTTCTGGTGTGGTCCCAGAAATTAATAGAGGAATATGATGTCTCTGCAATTCTCCTCAGCTTGAAAAAATACAGGAAAAAAAATTGGGGCAAATCTGCTTTTACATGTACAAGAGGAACAGACTTACCAAGGGGACTTTTAAGGTATGCAATGGCTTTTTAACATGCAAATTTAAAGTGTCATTCTGACTGTGCATCCTGGAATAAAGACAGGGCTCAAAACTGTCTTTTTCAACTGAGCAGATCTTTGATGAAAACCTTTGAAAGCTAAGAACTTATTTGACTCCTTCTTAAAGTGCTCATTAGCCTGGTTTAGAAATACCAGCAACTAATGACATCTGGGGAAAATATGTGCCCGTATCTCTACAAAAACATCAGCTTTTGCTGCTCAGTGACATTTTCTGCTATGAATTTTTGTTATTACTGAGTGGCATGCAATATTCAGAAGTTCATTTGATTCCCATTTCAAAGGGCTCTTTTCAGACCCAGTTGCAGATTTCTCTTTGATTTGGCAGCTCAGTAACTGTTGAACTTTGACATTTGTACAGGCAGCATTTGCATGGAGGTAAAAATACCTTTTTTTCCCTTACAGAAAAGCACAAAAAACCCCCAATCTTAAATGTCTCTTGTATATCATGATCAACTATGCAAAACATTAAATGTCAAAATTTTAAAAACCTGTGGAAAATGAAACAGAAAAGGCATATGGCTGGAGTAGAACTAATCTCTTTTTCAAGTGTCCAGAAGAGGATCTTCTGAAGAAAATATCACCAATGACTTGAATTAACTCTGGGGTTGTAATATTCAAAAATTAGCAAATCATCCAAATACTCAAGTCTTGGTGTGTTAACACACTGAAAAAATAACAACACTCTCTGCTTTTGTAAGGGCAGTGTATCAGATGGAGGATGACTGATAAAGGACTCAAAATGTGACCTTTCAGGTTTTATTCCCTTTGAATAATTTCCTCTTGTAATCAATATATACAAGATTATGTCACAAAGTCTATGGACTATCAACAGTACAAAGGACAGAGAGGACAGAAATTAGAAATTACAAATATGCAGCTGCAAGAGGAACCTAAAAGAGGCAAAAAGGTGAGAAAAGGGTATCTGAAAAAGATGAAGGTACGTAAATACTCTTTTTGCAATTCAAACCAATAATTATCTTCAATAAAATATAAGTATTGGCATGACACTTTCAGGATCTGTCATTCACTGGAATGAAATCTATCACTTTGCTAAAGTTCACTCAGCATGTACCAATAACCAATTCATTTTATAGTTAATTTTTATATGAAATCATAAGAGCTGCTGTGCTTGACAGTCAACATCATCTATTGCATCAATGGTAACATCCACTCATTTTATTTCGATTCAGATTTGTGTAAATATTTTGAACTGCTCCATGCATTGTTTTTCTCTGAAATTCCTTAGTGTTAGCGGTGAGGAATTTTTAAAATTGTGAATTTTCTGTCATTCTTATACCACATGGACAAATCTTAGTACTGAGTCTGCTGCTACTTTCTGTGGCTATTGGCAGTACCAGCAAATCAGCAGCCTTATAATTTTTTTATACCTTGTCCCTTTGTATATAACATTGTTCTCATTTTCTTGAAGCAGAAGTTGTGAATGAGCAACAAAGCCAACAAGTATATAGTACTGGACATATCTTGTGAGTTTTCACCAACATATTCATTTTCTCTCATATTTGAAAGTAGCTTCATATTTGGGGATGTAGCTATTAGATCTCAACACTTCTTAATAGAAAAAATAGAGGATACTTATCAGCTATTACGTACCTTTCATAAAGTGGAGATACATTTAGCAAATAATAGTCCTGTGTAAACTATTTTTCAGTTTTCATCTTAACAAGAACAATAGAAGACATAAAATGATTTTGCTCTGAAATCAAGGATGAAGAAATGTGTGGGGAGACCTGACCTTTCACATTCTTTTTTCACCAAACGCTAAGTGATTTAATCTATATAATCTCTTTTGTCATCAAACAGAGACTTCACATTTTTTTTCCTGGAAGATATCATGGTCAGAAGGATGAGAGGATGAGGACAGTAAACTTATTGGTGGTCAGACCAAATGATCTTAATAGACTCTTGCCACTTAACAACTAATGACACCTAATTTAAATGATTTTTTTTTTAATTAGTACATTAGCATTTGAATCAGGATCCACCCTTTACCTTCATCTTTTGAGCAACTAAATTTAAGGGACTGACATTTTAGTTAAGTTTTCTGCATGTGATATACTGTTTTTCAAACAAACAGAAAACAAAGTTGCTTCCCCAAAATTTTCTAAATATGTGCAACAACTCAACAAAAAACTTTATTCTCTAGCAGATGTAAGATATAATCTAAGGTATCTGAGGTATGAAAAATTAGGCAAAGTAAGAAAAAGCAATTATGGTTCCCAATTTGCTAATCAAAAGTAAAATGCTCAGAGTGCATATATTTAACCACGCAGCTGTCTGTAAAGCACCTGCCTCAGGTACAGCAATTCACCAACTTTGAATCTTCAAAATCCAGAAAAACAAAACTTTAAAAACAAATCATTATATCATTCTAAAAATACTATATTTTTAAGAAGTATTTTGGCACCGGTCTTCTTTCACTGTGTTTTTTTGAGCATTTATTTGAAGCAGGGCAAGACTTTTACTTTATCATTCATTTGAGAAGCTGGATATTTAAAAAATCATGAAGGATGATGCATCTGTCTGAACTCTGGATTCTGACATGTAAAGCCCCACATCTGAGGTAGCTAGTCTGCATTTTGCCAGAAGTTCTTTATGCAGTCAACAGAAAGAAACTGGGATTGTGAGTGTGCCAGACACTCAAACTACCCTCAACCCACAAAGCACATATTTTCTGCTCGATGCTGTCAAAGGGAAAATAATGGCAGTTCAAATGTAAGTATTTTGAAATAAATTAGATGAATCTCAGTTCATGTGCCCACAATAGTGTTATCACTCACCTTTCAGTACTGTAAGAACTGTAAACCCTAGAGAAGGAGTCTAAGTTTCTTACTCTCTACATGGTTTTATTCTGCTCGGTTCTGTACCATTTCCATAAGCACAATATGCTTTTTTTTACAGTAAGTAGGAATATTTTCCCCCCATCTTCTTTCTTCACATCAGTCCACTGCATTTTTTTTGAAGTCTGTTGAAAACAAAAATTCAAGATAGAGTCACTCTGTCTCAAATTAAAACAGAAACAGAAATTCATAGAAACAACTAAGCTGTGTATGTGTATTAAATCCAGTAAAAGATACACAATATTTGACAAACAGAAGGAATTAGATGTTCATGCATTGTTGCAGAGCTGTAATGTAATGGGATTATTATGGAGCCATAGAAGAACTGTTCAAGGAATGAAGCACTGCAACGGATAGGCACAGACTTCCCAGGAAAGACGAAAGAGGGGGATAATGTGCTCTATGCAGATGACTCTCCACCATAGTCATCTGTAGTCAAGAGGGAAAAAGTTGGCTGAAAGCATAGGCTGAGGGTGTAAGGAAGTCCAAAAAGAATGGACATGCCGGTGGATTGCTCCTACAGGAAACTCAGTCAGGAAGAGAAAGTGAAAAAATAAGCTTCTTTAAGGCACAGTTACAGACCTTGGTTCTCATGGAGGAATTTAACACTTCAGCATCATCTGGAAAGGCAATGAAGCATAATACCAATAATTCAAATTTCTAAGGTGTGTTGGGGACAATTTTTTGCTGCAGCTACTAGAGAAGCTGCTCTGCAGGATCTGCTACTCATAAAAATAAGCAAGCAGACAATGACAGTCAATGTCAGGCTTGCCTATAATGACCATGAGATAGTAAAGTTTAAAAATATAAAAAGTAAGACAAGTAGCAAAATAAAGAGTCTGGTTTTGCAGATGTCAGACTGGCTTGTTCAGTTGTCTGCTTCAGAGGGATGTATTGTAGGGCAAGTGGGCCAGAAACAGCTTCTAGTTTTAAAGCACATGAATAGTCCCTCTGATGTGCAAAAGAAAAAGCAGACATGGCTTGGCTAAATGAGAAACTCCTATCCAAGCTCAAAGTAAACAAAAACCAAAAACAAACAAAAAAACCAAAACAAAACCCCCCAACCAAAACAACCAAAAAAACAACAAAACAAAAAAAAGTCTCCAGATGGTGGAAATGGGAACAGGCTCCTTGGGAGGAGCACAGAAGCATCACCCAGGCATGACACAACAAATGGAACACAGCCAGTCAAATGGAAGCTCAAGTTAAAACTAGTGGGGGGCATGAAAGAGAATAAAAGCTTCTATAAAGAAATCAGCACAAAAATTAAGATGATGTGTATCTGCTGCTGAATGAAGCAGGTATGGAAAAGGCTGGAAAAGTACCTCAGTCATTTCTAACAGGGTTTCTTCTCAGGTCTCCCAGGTCCCTGGTGATGGCAAAACCTATGGAAGAGAAGTATTACCCACTGCAGAAAAGAATCAAGGACTCCTTAATTAAACTTAACATACACAAGTCTGGAGATCCAGAGAGAATATATCTGAAAGTGCTGGGCTGCCATCAACTTTGAGGCAATTGTGTCATCTCTGATAAACTGTGATGACTGTGGGCGGTTCACAATGACCAGAAATAGACAAAGGCTACACTCTAAGTTAAGAAGGATTATCAAGGCCTGTCCAGCTCACCTCAGTTAGCTGGGAACACTATGGAGCAGATCATCATAGAAGCCATAGGCTTCCATACATATGAGCAAGAGAGGATTTCTGAGTCCTCTTTCCTAAAGAACGTGATCATTTCTAAGGTCAACTAGAATTTTGACCTTCATTCTCAACACAACCCTAGACTTGCAAGTTAACTAAACCACTTCTCAGTTGTTCAGTTGCTTTTTCTGCATGAGTATCAAATTACCCAGCACCCACTGGTGTTTTAAACTAACCTGACTAGCAATGATAATATGATCCAGCTCTTCAAGAAAGGATCTCAAAACACTCTCTACAGCGTCATTATCTGAAGGTATATGTCCTTCAGATACCTTTTGTCTATCACATTAAATAATGACCTTTATAGAGGAAAGAGTTCTGTAATTTGTGAACTTCAGTTGGTTTAGCACATCTCTTGCCGAAATGTCATATTTAAATTAGTATGCACGCTGCAAGAGCAGCCTCAAATCATTTAAAAATTAATATTCAAAATAATTTCAAAGCTGATAGGAGCCGATACCCTTGGTTTATTATTCTCTACTCCAGCAGAATGTACGCGGGCATTATAAAAACAGATCATTTTGAATTTGTGTGGGTCATTTCAGACCAAAGAGCTTTCCCAGACACCCAACACTTTTACGCTGGGTAGTCATTCAAGATCTGTCACTTGACTTTGAAGCACTACAGTCATCCACAAGCTTTTCCCCTTAGGCACTTCAGAAGGGTGGGTAGTCCACAGAAATATTTGGTTCATGTCTGCTTTCACCATGAACAGGTTTAACATGTGTTCTGTCCTTTCTGACAAGACTTATGTTTATGTACCTGTGAGATGCAGTTCCACATCAGCTCCTCCTCTCCAAAAGAAAAGATTCTGCTTTTTCAGAACCAGCTGTTCATAGTCAGATGGTCTGAATCTTGATTGGTCCTGCCTAGAAAGAAACAGTACTGTAATCTCAATTTATTTCCTTCTTCCCAGGAGGACTGTACTATCCAAGACCCGCTATTACTTTTTCCTTCATGGTGAAGAAATTGCTAATGACACCAATTACGTGACACAAATGTCGCCTCTACATTTTTCTTCCGTTCCAGGTCAGCAAGATTGCAACTCGAAAACAAAGAAAGAGCAACTTGAAAAGAATTTAGGGATGCTGTTGTTTTGTTTTTTTCTCCCCCAAATGGAAATGCTGCATAAAATTCAAGTCCAGATAATCAGACAGTGCCCTGATGAATGAGCTGAGAAAGGGCATTCATGACTGCTATGCTGTATTTTTCTGGTGGGAGTCTGCTCAGACAGTGCTGTGAAATGAAATCGCACTTTACGCATTGCATTCAGTACTTACAATTGCTAGACACAACAAAGTAAATTAGAAAGAGTGGCAGCTGTCAATTGATTCTGATTTACTTTCAATTATTTTAATTTTCATACATAATTAGTTTTATAATTCCCTTAATATGCTTGAAAAATACATTTCTCTTTTCAACCATCCTTAAATAAAAGCTGAACCTTTTTTCTATTGAAAGCTACACTCCCTTATTTCTAGTGGATGAGAAGCAAATTTGGCTTTCATGACACACTCCTCCACTTGCCTTGGCAATAAATGTGCTTGTTTAGTCACACAACCAAGAACTTGTATTTCATTTTTATAACATAGGTAGACAACTGTGCTAAATTTCTTGCTTTCCTAGTATGACTTTACCTTGTGCATATGAATTATTAGTCTTTGCAAACATATTTCATCTCCTAGCATTCTCCTCCCAAGTTTGAATACTATTTGATCATCCTCTTTAGTCTAGCATCAACTGAAATTTGTTGAGGAAAGATTAGTCAGTCGTAAGAGCCAACTGCAGAATAAACTATGAGTTATTTTGTACTGGGCCTTGTATATGTGTTGTTTACAGGGTGAAAAATTACCAATACAGGAAAATACAGATATAATTAATTACATATAAACATATGCAGCAAGTCCAGAGGAGGGCCACCAAATTGATTAGAGGGATGAAGCACCTCTCCTGCGAGGAAAGGCTGAGAGAATTGGGGTTGTTCTGCCTGGAGAGGAGAAGGCTTCAGGGTGACCTAATGGTGGCCTTCCAGTACCTGAAGGGAGCCCACAGGAAAGATGGAGAGAGACTATTTACATGTAGCAAAAGGACAAGGGGAAATGGCTTCAAATTGAGAGAGTAGGTTTAGAAATTCGGAATAAATTCTTTACTGTGAGGTTCTGAGTACGTGACACCTGCTTGTTAGGGATATGTACAATTTACTGGTCAGTGGTACTGGGGCCTGTTCCTTCATGCTCTGTATTTATTCACATTAAGAGGATCTCTTTGAGCCTTATCTAAGCTAAGCAGTCCCAGATCTCTCAGCCTTTCCCCATATGAAAGATTCTTTAGTCCCTTATCTTAAGAGCCCCTTTATGGACTCTCTCCAGCACATCCACCCCTTCCTTGCAGTGAAGAGCTCAGAAGTGAACACAGTACTTCAGGTGGGAACTACTATAAGCTTAAAGAGTAAATCTTCATGTTCTTTAATGTTGAAAAGTTGGACATTTCTACCTAGTGAAGGATATCCTGCACCTCATATTGCAATACTTACTTCCAATATCACTACAAAACCAGAATTTCGAGACTTAACGTTCTTATACAAAAAATAATTTCACAAAAACATACTGATTGAGACTTAGAACAATCAAAGGGAACACTGCCACTGACTTAGCTGGGAATGGGATACAGCTAACTGGGCAAATCAGAAGAGTAGAAAGAAAGGAGGAGAAGCAATCTGATTTATCACAACTTTATCATCAGTGGGTAGTTACAAGAAATCACACAGGTAAAAATTGGGAAGATCATTCCTAGTTCAGAGCTCGCCAGAAGGTTCTTCCCAACTATGCTGTCACTACGACCTGTCCTCTCCACTGCTACAAACTATCTAGGAGCCTGTGGCCATATAATGAACCAAGTATTGCCAGGTAGCAATAGCTGTGGTAGCCATAGTGCTTACTTAAATAGTAACATTGAATCAGACTGAGTTTTAACTAATTTTACATCTGAGGTTGGAAGAGAGATGCACCAGAGCATATCTGATTCCCCAAAGTCAAACAGTGAGGCTAAAGAGGCAAAGCACAGCAGGACTGAAGCTGCTGCTGTCAGAACTTGTTTGCACCGTCTGATCACAGTGTTCAGTTCACAATGCAAATCCATATAAGTAAATTAGAGTAGGTTTAGTTCACCCAAGCACATCTGTCATACCATCACATTTATGCTGCTCGTATGGTCCCTTTACACAAGTCCGAAATTTTTGGACGATTCTGTAAATAATTCCTTAAAATATGAGACGGCCATTTTATTTGCTGGGTAGTTTTAAACACAATTACAATCGGCACGATTAGGGATTACAATTGTCTAGAGTTAGCCAAAAGCTCAGCCATATCCACAGAGCAAAAAGCAGATCTAACAACTCCTTAACACTCTCCTCCCTTAGTTGTCTACATCACTATATCAAAATATGGCAAAACAAAAAATTAAGACAAATTAAACACTCCACCATCCCCCTTTAATCCACTCATCTGTAAGCAATCCTTATCTTCAGATTGGGGAATTTTAGAATCCTTTTATACCTCTTTAAAAGGGATCTTTCTGCTTGTGTTACTTCATGCACTGAAGAGGATGGTATTGAAAACCTTGCTTCCCTTGTCATTTATTCCAATCACAGTAAGAATGGTGATGAAATTTCAAATTCACTTCAGTGTTGTGTGCTTGAATATTCCCAGGAGACCTGATGTCTGAGCAGTTTTAAACATCATTTTTCTACAGGTGTTTTTCTGGGGAAGGAGTCCTATGAATTTAAAACAACTGTGCCCCCCACAAGCCCCCAGCAGCCACTCAGGTGTGCAGTAGTTTTAAAGCAGCAACAGAAATAGAAGGACATTAAGCAAGCAGCTGTCAGCCATTTGATGATCACTAAGGTTTTGTCCATCCTTTATTTATAAAAATTACACCTCTTTCTATGTGGGTTTCATAATTAGAAACTTTGAAGACCTTGTATAAGTCATTGCTATTTCTGTAGTCCAGTTGTCATAAAAATATACTTTCCTTTACACTCAATTAATACCTTTTGCACTATTCAACAATCTCAGAAAGTAACAGATTTCCATGTTAAAGAAACTGGTAAACTCACCACTCCAGAGGCTTGTAGCCTCAAGAGACCCATGTCCATGGTGAACTCCATTTTCATGCCCCATATTTAACACTTCACATGGTCCTGGAAAAACAGAAGCAAAAGAATGCATAGAGAATATTCAGCTGCCTCAGTAGTTCTGGCAACAACAGAGAGACTACATTCTTGTTTTTAATCCCTGAGGCAAGTACACGGCTCCTATGAAACTACGAACACATAACTGAATTCCTGGTTTTGTATCTCTGTGTTGTGCAAAACATAGGACAAGATCACCGGTATCATGCTTCACTCAGTGACTACTCTGTTTCATCAAAGCTCTGGAAGAAAATTAAAGAATAAAACACTTCTGGTAAGATTTTGAGCAACAGGAAATGGCTGGTTTGTTGGTAATGGCCAGAAAAAAAATGGTTTCTTTTCATATGGAAGCTATTTGAAACAAAGTCTGCCTAAGCACAGCTAAGTTATGCTATGACAGAAACAGAAAAACAGGGAAAATATTTAAGAATGAGGACAATCTTCCAGAAAACACTGTCTCTGGAGGTCTGAATGAACATGTAATTCAATGAATTTTTAGTGAGATGCTGTAGTTAAAAAAAGAAGATGGGAGTGCTTAGATGCACGTGCAAGAATAGTAAGAAAAATAAGGTGATTTAATCTCTCAGGCAGGGCATAATGAAGTTTATGTTCTCAAGAATCAAAACAGACACAACAACACAGAAACACCTCTGCAGAGAAAAAAATGGACTTCAGACAAGAGACTCCAGTTCAGCAGAGAACAGGAATGGATGGCCAAAAGTGACAATTAGGCGATTTAAAATTAAGACTTAATAATGTTGAGTATTTGATGGGGCAAATCAGCATGAAGTGGTGATTCTGCTGCTATGGATACTTTCAGGTTGATTCTGATACACTTTTATGAGCTTCTCATAGCACATTTCTCAGAACTCTCACAAGCAAAAAATAATTGTTCCATGCCCTTATGTCAGCATTCTTTCATAGTCAAGATATAGAAAACAATACAATAACCTTTATCCAGGCTGTAGAACAAATAGATGGTCCCAGGCTGTCTGATTAAATCCTGATCTATCAAGCAAAGATAGTGCCTGATATTCATGAAGCACTTTGCACCTTGGCTGTTTTAAGCCTGGGAAAATACTCTACATCACCAAGTTAGTCATTAATTGTACATTGTGTTGGCTACAGAGGAAAATATTAAAACAATATATTGTGGGTTTTCACCCAGAAGAATTACACGTGACAAGTAATCCCTACACTGTATATACCTCCCCTCTTAAAAAGGGATTTTAGCCTTGATTCCACTTGTTTATTCCAAAGATTCAGTAATCATACATTTTGATTGCTATAATTTACATACACTTAAGCACTAGCTAACTCTCCAGAAGCAAAATTGCACCAACTCATCTTGAAGAAATTTTTTTTTTTTCTAAATCACAGGTGTACTGGCAAACATAACACAGAAAAGTACTCATTCCTCATCCACATTATGCAGCACAATATGAAATTTATTTCTTTTTTCCCCCAAAATAAAACATTAAAACACTGTAAAAACAAATCAGAATTTACTAGGTTTATCCTTTATTGTCTTCCATTTCTTAAAGGCATCTTTCTTCTATTTATTCTACTACTTTTGGATACTTTTAGTTTTCCCATTTAGCAAACCAGCCTAATGTCACCAAGTCTGTAGCTGCTCCGTCAGTGGCATCAAATGGTAAAGCACCTTCACAAAAAGCTGCACTAAGATATTAGACAGGGTCAATAGTTAATGAGGATGAAATGAGTAAATTTTAGTATCTAATAATTCTATTATTCACTGTAGGAAAATCAGGGACCTGAGAGAACACAAAATGAAAGAGAATTCCAGCAGAATTGTTGCCTTTGTCTATTTTACAGGGATGGACAGATGAGAACACACTTGGGATATAAGAAAAGAACAGCAAAGAAAACTAGATCTAAAATTAGGTGCTGAAAAACACCCTGTTACAGACAGAAGTAATATAAACCACAAAAGACCCCTACAATATTTAAAAAGGAAAGAGCACTATCAGACAAGACCAAGGTAACTAACATAATACATAGGAAATAGAAGCCTGTGACAGGCATTTTTGAGAAGATGATTAAGCCAGTAAATTTAAAAATTTTAGAATAATTGAAAAAAAGACATACGAGAACCCAATAAAGGCATATCCTGGCTGACCATTACGTAAAAGATGGTAGAAAGTTAAAGAAATTTATGTTACACTTGAAATGAACAAGCTAATGAGATCAATAAGGCTTGTAATAATATTTTTAAATAAAAAGGGAGAGTTTTTTGGCAAAAATTTCAAAATACAATAAAACTTCACTTCTCAACCTGAGTGGTGAACCAACACATATCCACTTGATCTGTGGAGATGCAGGTCACTTGGACAGAAAGCCTGTTGAACAGTACTGAGGTACAGTTCAGGACTAAGGAAAAGGTAACTGGACAAGGAGTATCAACTGCAAGACAGGAGATGAACCACGAAGAAACGTGGAATACCTAGGTGAGGAAATCTGAAGTGCCTATGTGTTACATACATCCTTCAGAATTTCATGACCTTGGGGAAGAGAACACTTTTCAACTACTATCCAAATAACAAATACCATATCCATAGCAAAAGAAATAACTGGATTATCACAGTAATGAGCTTCCATAGACTAAAATGTTTGTAAAGTTAGGGTGTGCTATTCATTACTGACCATGTAAAGGGGCTTTTTGAAGGAGATTAGACACTGCAATTCAACAAAATTTCAAAGTATCTGGAAAGAAGTCAGCTTGGAAAAAAAGAGTGGACATTTTAAGATTGTTTGTGGCTGCAAGACCTGGTGCTTCATAACGGAAACACCCTCCCTAAATTCCAAGCAGAGACTAGCCAAGGAAGGATCAAATGCCTTTTGTACAGGAAGCCTGAGGAAAGATCCTAGAAGACACCAGAGTGATGTGAGAAACAGGACATCTCTCTAAAATGACCTCAGCCACCCAAGTCCTGCAGCTCCCTATCCAACAAGGACCTGTGACTAGAACTCTTCCAAGCAGAAGCCAGGCAAGAGGGGATTATGGCTACAGCAGGAATTCTCTCATCTTACATAACTGTCGCACTTCACATGAATCAGTCTTTGCCTTCACAATAACACCCTAGTGAACTAAACTTGCCCTAAAGCTGTTATTGAAAGGAACTATTTTTAGGGTTCGGATCACACTAAAAGTCATGTAGGATTTCTTTGGAGAGGATTTTTACCTTATATTTAATTATTACTACCCCTGATGAACAAATACATTAGACAAAATAAAAAAAAAATCTGAAAGACAGGTCAAGGCATAGAATTCCTGCACCTGAAAGCTGAATTTAGGAAGATGATCAACATTTTAATTCTTGGTTCACTAAACTGAGCATACATATTTCTCAAGTGTGCTTGATTTTGTTTGAATTTTTGTGAGTCTTGTGGACATCACACTGTCAGCTTCTCAGCATCAACAACATCAGAAAAAAACACAACATAGAAACTGATTGAGGAGTTTATTTTAAAAAAACATGCTTTCAACACGGTTTTTTCTTTTGTGCCCTAATTTTCAGGAAGAAAATTCCTAATTTTGGAAGAACAGTCTTCATTGTCTTAAAGTGAAATTGTTACCAAAAGTCTGCAAGTGAAGTGAGAAACTCTAAAGAGAAGAAACGCACAAGTCCTTCAAAGTTCACAGGAAAACAGAACAACTGTTTTGTTTTATTTACTTTGCCTTTTTACTGAAAGTAGGGAGAATACTTTAAAAAAAAAGAGGTTACCTCATCTTCTTTAGTGTACCAACAATTCTATGTTAAAATAACACAAAAAATATTTGCAATTTATGCATTCATGAAAACGGTAATTACTGCTTTTTTGAGCATAACTTTATTTAAACTGTCGTGTTTCCTAACCTAGAAAGTCAGGTTCCTAGACTGACACTTCCAAGAACAATGCTATTAAAGCAACCAAACACTTCTCATTTTTTGACCTGTTTTTTCAATTTTACCCACATCTACAGATTCCAGCACTCAAAATGCAACTGAGCAAAGAAGAAAAATCAGAAATGAAAATATATTCTGGAAGATATAGCACAAACCTTTAAATATTTGCATAAGGAATTATGTATACAAGCTGTCCCTGGAGGGTGTAGGCTGTGAATTCAGAAATTACTTTCAATGTCTTCTACATTCTGTAGGCTATTAGAATTCACATAAACCAGCAGTTTTGCTAGGCTTGAAAACTTCACATTAATGTTGCTTCTTTTTTTATGTGTTGTGTGAATAGCAGCAGAGAAAACAGTATTGAATAAACATTAAACAACTTGGGAAAGATCATTTATAGACTGTGTTTTCAAACAAGGTTTTACTATCTCTGTTTTGAATATGTCATGTTCTTACTTCAGGTTTAAGAGCTAACAACAGGCTTAATCAAAACCTTCAATAATTTAACATTATAAGTGAGGACAAGCTATGAGAAAAATGAATTAAATATAAAATTAGATTATGCAAAGAATAAAACTAAACCAAAATTGCAATTAATTTCTCTTTCAGGTGTTCTTAGAATGATCTAAAAATGCTCCACTGTCACCACTCAGCATTTATGGAGTTGGTATGTTTAAAGTGATTAAGAAAAATTTTCAACTTCTCAGCAACCTTGTTTCCTAGGAACTAAAACCACTTCTTTTTACCTTTGACTAGTTTGACTATTCAACAACCATAGGTAATAATATTCATTATTAAAAATAAAAATAATCAAGATCAAACTTTACAAAGAATATGTAAGATCTAACATCAATTGTGGCAAGAGTTTATCTGAATAGACACTGATCAGACTGTCATTTGCCACAAGCATGAGCTGTAACAGAATCCAAATATATAAAATTCACATTGAAAAACTATTTGGAAAGTCCACGATAAAACTGAAATCCATGAATTTCATTCAAATAAATTGTTTTTTATTTTCCTCCCCCCGAATGTACATCAGTTTTAGACATAAACTTATTTCTGAAGGATATTTTGGCGTTCACATCACTAAAGAGCCAAACCGAACACATGCACAAGTGGTCTTATTCTTTTATGTATTAAATCAGATTGGCAATACAAGTATTAAGTTGAAAATCTGAGTATCAAGTTCAGCTCCCTCTCCTCTTTTCCTTAAAGACAAAAAAGAAATTGCTTGATACCTTTAAATGTATGGATGGGAAACATGCATAGAGCAAATTCCAAGGTTTAGAGGATCCAGAAAGTTTAGAATAAAAAGATCTGGGCAAAGGAAAAATTAAAAAAAAAAATTAAAAAGTGAAAAAAGTATACAACATCCTAAAGCGCAAAATGTATCTAAAGCTAACAAATAGTTTTAGGGCAAAATTCTACTTCTCAGTAAAGGAAATGCAATGTTCACTCACATTTGAACTCTCTCATATGAGGGTGGAGGCCCATCACTCTTTGTTCTGAGCCCCTACATCAAGTCTTTTGGAAGTAGATCTGGTTTACAGTCCAGTATGTTGATCAAGAGGTGGTTCCTCCAAGTGGGCTTGGATCTGTAGGTCGGCCTCTGCAAAAATTTGCACTCCTACCATCATCCCCCCTCTCCTCATCAACTGACTTCATACCTCCTTCTCTGTTTTATCCCTATTTTTGGACCTTCCTTTTTGGCTTCCTGTACCACCATGTCTCATGTAACAAATAAACCACTTGCCAGTTTTTCCAATTTTGCTATATATGTACCTAAATCTAGTGTTTCTTATGTCATTATCTGTCAATCACAGGTAATGTGATGTTACTGATACAGAGTAAATATAAGTATAATTACTTGCCCGGCACAGCAATGGGCCAGCTGCTCCGCAAGCAATGGAAAAGCTGGGAGCCAAGGGGGATCCCTGGGCTGCCAGAGCATGGGCCTTTCTGCCTAAGGCACATCCTACATGGCAGGGAGAGGCAAGGGCAGATTGGGTGAAGGGGACCCAGCCTTGAGTCTAGATCGCCAAGAGAGTCTGTGATGAGGCAGGTTTGACACCAGACTGGGAAGTCAGGATCAGACCAGGGTTCAGACATTCTGGTGACTGCCAGGCAGGTCAGCAGCACCAGGGCAGAGCCAATGCCAAGCTGGGAAGGGACTCCACAGTTCAGGACAACAAAGCTCCCAGCCAGGCTGCAGGCACCACTGCCATGGGCTGCAGACAGACCAACCTCCAGTGTCAGTGGGCCAGTGGCCCCAGGACGAGCTGACGTGGGGCTCCAGGGCCCACAGGAGAGAGCTCAGGGTCAGGAATCCCCTTTAGCACCCTCAGGGCTCTGACAGTTACCCAGGCATTTTTTGCCTTTGCAGGTCCCACTCCCAGATGGTCCCCAAACCATTTGGGTTGCAGTGGATCTGTTACTCTTTGCTTCACATGCTCCCCAGGACAAGTAATCCCATTTAGCCTTGGTATGCATACTTAGGCCCAATTCAGTTTTCTTACCTTATACAGAGAGCACCTGTAGACCACATGCTATTGTGCTCACAGACCATCCTGCTTTCTGTGGTGGCTGCTTGATTAGGGATCATTGACCTTGGAACACTCCTTGGGCAGCATCCTGGTTCCTTTCAAGGATCTTAGCTGATGCCTAGTACTCCATAAGGACCTTCTGGCTCACAAAGTCAAAATAGCTTTCAGAAGGTGACCCGCTGGTTATCTGCCACGAAAAAGTCATAACTGATTTTTGCTTGAATTTTTTCCTTTAATATCTGTATGCGAAAATCACAAAAGCAACATTAAGTATTTAAGAACTGAAATACAAGCACTCCAAAAACTCATGTTAACTCAAATTTTACTTCTGTAAAATGCAAATCACTCTAAAACAAGTACAAAGCATATTAAAAGTCAAAATGCAACATTTGCAACAGATGGAAAATGATCTTTATATATTTTCTCTAAGTAACTGTTCTCTTGCCTTTTTTCAGCCTAATGCAGCCTTCAGAACACTGCAGGGCTATAGAATCTATTAGTATTTCCAGATTTTTCCTCCAGAAAATGAACAGTCTTTCATTAACTGAAAAGACTAAACTACGCATCCAGTCAATGATTAATTATTTGGCAACGACCAATTAATAAGGAATCATGTCAATGGCATTAATCGACATTGGCAATTCCCTGCTTCTGTAACAATGTTAAACATAAATTTAATTAAAAAATAAAATTTGGATATGTTTTCAAATGAATCCTCCATATTCTCATTAGATCCATCAATAGATATATTTAATCACACCATACTCTAGTTACACTGGTGGAATGCCAGACCTGCAGAAGAGATTAGAAAAACATTCAAAGACACACTAGATAATCTTTTTATTTAACAGTGGAAGCATTAACTATTGCTTTCAGATAATATCTATCTAGTCCAGGGGACATGCCTCTGTGTTTCACACTGGTTCATGTAACTAGATTGGAAAGCTGTGCCCTTTGCTCCCTTGTTCAAACTTCCGTTTCAACTAATACAGGGTCACGACGCCTATTAAGCATATGGGAAACTCTCTCGAGCATCTGAAATTATGCAGTGACCCCCCATGACATTCAGCTAATCAACACTGCACTTTAATTTCTGTGTAATCTTCATTAATTAAAGAGGTCAGTTTTTCCACTGAAGGACCAAGGTGCAGTTTCTCGTTTCTTCAAGAACAGATTCAACAAGAGAGAACAGTGACAACACAAACTTCCATATGCAAATGCTACAAATCCAAAGGAAACAAAAAAAAATTGACAAACTTTTCTAGTTTTTAGCTGACAGAGAAAAAAATATTTAATATTACAAAGTATATTTTATTAGTGTTTTATGAGATTGGTATCAACTTCAAGGGGTTTTCTAACTATTTTTTTTTCTTTAGCAGCATCAGTATAGTTAAAACAATAGAAGTCAGGGCAATATCTTCCTGCTTTGTACCTTTCTGTACAAATGACTTGAATAAATGCTATGTATATCCCATCTAAACTCATGAGACAAGAAACTGATAAGAAATACCCAAGAAGTAGAAGGAAAGGAAAGACTATGTTTCTGAGGAGTAGTGTTAGAACTGCTTTCTTAAAAACGTTTAAGATCTATAACTGCCATCCTACCAAAATTTTTCCAGGTGATAACTCACTTCTCTGTGTGGCGTCCTAATATTTTCCCAAGGAAAAATCTCATAAAAAACAGAAACCTAAGAAACCAGGGATTCTGGAAGAAGGAGCTGGAGAAAGCACTGCTTAAAAACCCTTCTGCAGACACTATTACTGAATATTGTGTACGTAATTCCAATCTGTCAAACCCCAATGAATAGAATAAACTCACCCAAAAGTCCCAAATAAATTTCTCCCGATGGTGCAGTCAAGAAATACTGTTCAGTTTGATCCATAACACCACATACAACTCACAGCTGCCACAATGGGTAGAGATTTGCAATGTACTTGTGGGAATGTCAACACCGTAGGAATGTGCAGGTGCTCCCATCATGCAATACATGTTCTGCAGTTCAGTGTATTGAAAACCACTATGTATATAGTTTCTATTTAGAATCATTGAATCATTTAGGTTAGAAAAGACCTCTAAGATCATTGAGTCCAACCGTTTACCCAGAACTGCAAAGCTTAATGTCTTATTCCAATGATTTCTTGATCACAATCACATTAAGTTTTCAGCCACAGAAAATATTCAACCAGTGAGCTTTGACATATTTCTTAAAAAAAAAAATTACATCTTTACTTAGAGAGATCTTATTACTAAGCACTTTTTCTTTCACTGCCTTTTCTCATCCTGGCTGTCATCTTCTCTCCCTCCTACATTTTCTTCTCCCTTTTAAAGCCATTTGGTTTTCCTGTCCCTCCCTCCTTTCTTCTCTAGCTTTTCATGGCTTTTGTTATCTTGTTCCCTTGTTCCTTTTTGTATTTTTTCATACTAGACTTCTCTTCCACTAGCTGCATTAGAATGTGGGAGATACTCTGTGCTCTTCCTACAAGTGAAGCTACAAAACAAAACAAAGCAAAACAAAATCAAGTTGGCTTTTGAAATACTAGAAGTTCTTTTGACTTAGGTCATACTCAGTGACTATCAGATACCAGGGCCTGGTATCAGATAAACAAAACTTAAAAAAAAGAAGTAATATAATTAATTTACAAATCTGTATAGCACAACATTTTCTCAGTGTTAGGAACACACTGCCTGGGTGTTTACTGGACATTTGGTTAACAATTCTTAGTGCTATTCCTTTACCCCCCCTTAGGAAACTGTACTAGGGATGTAGCCAGTTCTGCCTCGGCAATTCTACTTCCCCTTCACAGAACAGTTAGCTAAAAACTTAAAACTCAAGTTATATTTTCAGTCTCTTGTGCCCTGGTACAGGGGAAAATGTGTTTGGTGCAGGGAACTGTGCATATAGCTGAGGAGGTAGACAGAAGTATTAATTTGTTCCCCAAAAGAGACTTTGTTTTCACTATCAAAACCAAGATTCACATATGGGCTATAAAATTTATAATACTACTCCCACCAGAGTCAACATGCTCAAAGCAAAGCAATTCTTTTTCATTACTGTAGATACACCTGTGAAATGAGGCCAAGATACAGAGAAAGGGGTGAGGAAAGAGCATCTTTTGAAGATGCTTTCTCAGATTCTCCCTATATTCCTTCAGGATGCTCCTTAACTGCTGTTAGAGAGTGCACAGAGAAACCAGCATTGTCACATGATCTTGACTCCCCTCATTGTGATTTCAGCCCCTCCAAAACCTATAAAAATGGAGGGGAGAGAAGAGGACAAGACATTATTATGCCTTTTTCTTCACTGGAACAGCCTGGATAATGAACCTGCCCAAGCACCTGCTATGTGAAACAAGCATGTAAAAACCTTACTTCAAAGAGTTGCAGCGTTTCAGCTGTCTGCTTTTTACTGAGCTTCAACAATCTGATACATTTGCTTATAATTTATTATAATTTACTATATTTCCATTTCACAATAGTTATTTAGTAGTCTATTGAATACAAACTGACAAGGAGAGATTAGAGAGAGGTTCATTGGTAAACAGGAAAGTACATGCATGAAGATGTTAAAATCAGCATGGACTGCACAATCAAGAGAGACACTTACAGGCTGACTGGCAGGCACAAAGAAGTGAAGCATTTTTTCATAATTTCTTATTAGGATACCACCTCAAATCTTGTTAACTGGAAGCTAAGAATGTACAAAGAATAAACCAAACTGCAGAGGTGCAACCTGGGAAGTGACACATTAAACACTAGCAACCCACAATGACCATACTTCTTTTCATTGAGTCAAAAAGTAGAGGAATCTGCTGACTACATGAATTATTAAATCTTTGTTTCCAAAGATTTATCCCTCCAAATTTTCTAGTATTTAAAAAAAAATTAAAAATTGTTCATAATTAAATAATATAATCAGTGTCTTTGGCTCTTTAATTGTATTTTATGTGTTAGGTTATGTGTCTTTTATGCTTAATTGTCTTTTATGTGTCTTTAATTTGGTTCTTTAATTGTCTTTTATGTGTTGGGTAGAACTTCATATAGTAAGTTGAACTTTGAGTAAACTTCAAAACTGAAGCTGGACATGGAAATATAAAAGCTCCCTGGAATTCCAAAGCTCTACAATTACGTATTTTGTTTATTCAAACACTACACTATTTTTAATGAACTGAGCAGATTTCAGATTTTAAAGCCAAGATGTAAGTTCCCTGTACCATTGACATTTCATTTGCAGAATTATTGCCATTTATAGGCTGATTTTCTATTTTTATGTGTAGCTACTTCTATCTCACATGTTGAAAAATATGCCTAAACAGGTGTATTAATGTGTGGAATCATATTTGATAGGTCAAAAATAACAGAAGTAAAATACAGAAAAAAACACATCGTATACTTGAAATGATTAGTTCAGGCAAACTGCACCTGTAATTGAACAAGAGAACCTCACAACAACCCAGCCATCCCAAAACTCCAGGCAGCTACAGGCTGTAGATGACCACGGAAGAGTTGCTAGAACAGGGACTCTTAAACCCTGCAGAGTCTGGTTCATGTCTCTTCTGTAGCCATTCCCACTAGTCTAAGCTGCACAGAACATTCCATATGCACTTGACATCATGACATTTCTAAATCCTCTCCTAAATATTTGGGCAATTTCACACAAAGTATCTTCGTGAATTGATAACACAGAAAAGCATCTAATTAGGAAAAATGTGTACTCCATAAGCCAAATTGAACTGACCTAGGAGGGCAGAACAAAACTTTGTTCCCAGTAGATTTTATTAAAATAATTTCATCCTTTTTGTGTGCTTTGATCAGCAATATGATAGAAATAGTTATTAAATTATCATCAGTCACTGCATACATTTTACAAGCACTGGTAGAGCAGAATCATAATTACAAAGCAAGCATTTCAGACCATCTGCAAAGTTATGCAGATGGCTTTTTTACAGTAATATAGAAAACATACTTATTTATACTTAGCTATTTTTAAGTACTCAAAAAGGAAAGGCACTCCATTAATGCTTACCACCATGAATGCTGACCCAAAAGGATTCATAAATATTAAGTTTTGCTTCTGGCACTTGAACAACCACGCTGATTCCAAATATCATGTCCTAATCCACTAGCTCCTCTGTTTCTGATCCTGTAAAATGCTCTGTAGGCTTAACTACCTTTAACATTTCACAGTTGACTTCTTGAAAATTAATGGGAAGAGCAGAGTAAAGTAGGATGGGAGC